CTAAGATATTCTAATAAAGGGGGTGTTTCCTTCTGACTTAAGTAAGCAGGTGGTGTAACAGATCATACGACTGGCGTTAAGCCATAATGTCTCCGCATCTGTTCCTCAGCCAAACTTCCAGGATATTTGTGTCACTGTAATTGATTTCTGTGGTGACTTAAAGTGAGTCTCTAATAACTGTGCCAAGCAACTTACTCAAGGGGAGGAAGAACTCACAGATTCCAGGCATTAGTTCCTCTTTTCTTCCCTCCATAAATGGCAAGAGTATGAATTAGTATGCCGCCTGAATTAGAGCTCTCCAGAGTAAGTAACCAACAGGAAGTCACACTCTCTCGCTTGCTCTCTTACACCACCTCATCTCTCATACTCTGCCAAAGCCTATGGACCTCGTAGGTGCAGCAGCAGCAGGTCTATAACAAGAATAATCTCAGCACATAATGATTTTCCTGCAAGGCCTTTTAATGTTAATAAGTTGTTCTCCTGGTAACCATTATTCTTACATCGATGAATCTGACTGTACTAAGTACCTTGCACAGTGGTCTCAGAACATACCTGCCCTTTTCTGACTGGCTTCTTTCACTGAGCAGAATGTCTTCAAGGTGCATCCACGCCATGACACGTTTTAGCATTTCCTCCCTTTCCAAAAGCTAAATGACCTTCCCTTGTCTGTAGATTCCAAATCCTGTTTGTCCATTGCTCTGTCAACGGACAGAGGGTTGCTTCCAACTTTTGGCCATTGTGAATAGTGCCGGGTGGGTGTACAAGTATCTCTGAATTGCTGCTTGACTTCTTTGGGCATATACTCAAAAATAAAACTGAGATCCTACTAGCAGCTCTGGTTTTCACTTTTCGTTTGAGGAACTGCCATATGGTCTTCCATAGCGTCGTCATGACCCTGCCAATATTGCCCAAGAGTTTACATTCCTCCAACTCCTTAGCAACACTTGCTGTTTTCTGTGTGCACGTGTTTTCAACAGCGGCCATCCTGATGACTGTAGGTGGTGTGACCTTTGCACTGGTGTGTGGGGAACACTATGTCACGGGGTGTCACTTAGCTTCCTCCCCCAACTCTATATTCAGTGGCTTGTCATTGGTACCTTAAAGTTGACCATAGACAGAAAGAATACTTCATCACAGAGAGAGGCAAATACTCCAAATCAGTATTGCTCAACACTTAACAGGCGCATCGTCGCGATGGAGGTGGGGAAGCATGAAGCAAAGCCAGGCGTCACCCAGCACCCCTGGTGTGCCTGTCACACCCACAGTCTCAGCTGCTGTGCTGGAGTCGCTATCGGTTCCATGGCCTAGCTGTCACGGGGCTGTATCACAGCCTACTTTTGTTCAGGGGAAGGGGAAGGATGTCCTAAAGGAACTCTGCAGTTTTGTGGACTCCACCGCTACTTCAGCTTTCTGGACTCCACCCCTACTCTAGTGATTAGAAACTACAACTCCCAGCAGTACCAAGGAGAGAACTGCGAGGACCCAAGGGTGGAGCTAAGCGGCATTCTGGGACTTTTGGGGATAAATAGAGAGTGGTTTTTTCAACAGTCGCTCAGGAGCAGTAAGGGCTCTCAGACGGTGTTGCTGGGGGCTATCAGTGTGTGCCTAGAGCTCCAAGTTAGCCAAGCTGGTAAAATATTCCAGTTACCTTGTATCTCTCTCTCTTTCTTTCCCTGGGTTGTTCCTTTCCCCTTCCCCCTTTTGTAAGTAAACCCATTATTGACCCTTTTGTGCATGCCTGCAGAGCAATTACATTTTAAGTGCAGGGTGAGGACCCACAGACAGGCAGACCAGTTCACTCCCGGCTCCCCTGCAACAGTTTGAATGCTCTTTCGGTAACTCCAGGAGACTGAGTGGAAGGAGGAATAAATCTACTACATCTATAAATGAGCCCCCATTATATACCCGTTATTCACATTCAAGAAACAAACACATTTTTTTT